CACAGTGTGTTACAATTTGTGTAACAGTTATACACACATGCATATACACAGTGTGTTACAATTTGTGTAACAGTTATACACACATGCATATACACGGTGTGTTACAATTTATGTAACAGTTACACACACATGCATATACACAGTGTGTTACAATTTGTGTAATAGTTACACACATGCATATATATGGTGTGTTACAATTTATGTAACAGTTACACACATGCATATACACAGTGTGTTACGATTTGTGTAATAGTTACACACACATGCATATACAGTGTTACAATTTGTGTAACAGTTACACACATGCATATACACAATGTGTTATAATCTGTGTAACAGTTACATGCATATATATAGTGTTATAATTTGTGTAAGTTACACACATGCATATATACAGTGTGTTACAATTTGTGTAATAGTTACACACATGCATATATACAGTGTGTTACAATTTGTGTAATAGTTACACACATGCATATATACAGTGTGTTACAATTTGTGTAACAGTTACACATGCATATATATGGTGTGTTACAATTTACGTAACAGTTACACACACATGCATATACACAGTGTGTTACAATTTGTGTAAGAGTTATACACACATGCACATACAGTGTTACAATTTGTGTAACAGTTACACACATGCATATACACAGTGTGTTACAATCTGTTTAACAGTTACATGCATATATACAGTGTTACAATTTGTATAATAGTTACACACACATGCATATATACAGCGTGTTACAATTTGTGTAACAGTTACATGCATATACACAGTGTGTTACAATCTGTGTAACAGTTACACACACGTGCACATATACGGACACCTGTTTGCATACATGGACACAGACATATGCACACATGACCCCTCTGGGGAAATGCACAAGAAGCGGGTAGCCGCCCCACCTCTGGGGCAGCCGTGAACTGGGGCACGGGAGGAGCGTTGCCACTGTCTGCCTTTTTGTGCCTTTGCATGTGGAGCCGTGGAAATGCATTAGCAATTCTAACATTTAAACTAGAAGCCGGCAAAGGCTGTTATTTGAGGGGTTCCAATGACCCCCGTTCTCCAGGACTCTCCAGGCTGCACCCTGAGCTGTCTGTCAGCAGGACACGCCTCCCTTGCACCCCACATGCCGGCCTCCTGGAGTGTGGCCTTCACTGAGCACGCTCAGCGAGTCCCACGCTGGGGCCCAGGGTCGGCGGCAGTCTGCGAAGCTCGGATGCCGTCAAGGCCTGTCGGATCGCTATTACTGTCTGTCTTTGGAGGATCCAGCTGCTGGCGCTTCTGTGCGGCGTCTGCTTCCCGGGCGTGGGGCTGCCCCTCGAGGGCCGCCGGCAGACAGGGCCCGGAAGCTCCCGGTTCACCGCAGAAGCCAGGGATGTTTTTAACCCCTCGTCATTTTTAAAGCTCATAGTGATGGTTCACT